CCCCGCAATACACACACACACACACACACACACAATGGACTAATGAACTACAACTGGCCTGATGCTGTAATGGACCTGTCTCCAATATGGACAGGAAATTTTGGTCACTGGCTTTGCTTCTAGCTTTGCTGAAACCCCAGCTACACTTCTTCTATGACCAGACAAAGGGAAATGGGACTTTAGAAACACAGGGATTTAATTCCACGCAAATAAAAATCACTTGTTCTCCTGTGCAAGACTCAGAAAATTCTCTTTTTCTTGGGACATCATAAGAAGTCCACCCCCTGCCCTGACCGGTTTGGTTCAGTGGATAGAGCATCGGCCTGCGGACTGAAGGGTCCCAGGTTCGATTCCAGTCAAGGGCATGTACCTTGGTTGCGGGCACATCCCCAGTAGGGGGTGTGCAGGAGGCAGCTGATCGATGTTTCTCTCTCATCGATGTTTCTAACTCTCTATCCCTCTCCCTTCCTCTCTGTAAAAAATCAATAAAATATATTTTTAAAAAAAGAAGTCCATCCCCAGCAGTACTTCATGTGATATCACCCTCAGCATCAGCTAAATCACCAAGAAAACATGATCTTAAGCATTCTGAGGACTTAGTAGGTAACTTTTAGAACTGGCTCATTAAATCCAAATTATATTAGCTTTAAAAAAACACAGAATAGCTACACCAATTGAAAAGGATCAAAGAGAAAGTTTTAAATAGAAAAATTCATTAAGAAAATCAATTTAGCAATATGAGTGTCAGTGGGAACCATGAACACATGAATGACATATTTTTCTAACACCAAGGCCTTACAAGGCTTCATCTCATATATAGCTTAAGACTTTTCACATTACAGCACTGTAACCTATAAATAAAAATCAGTAGAAGCCCATTCACTCTCAGCATTACTCAAGGCAATTCTGGGCATTATTGTGCCAGTGAGAAATTGTATTTTCTTATTATTCTTCCCATGTAAGATGATAAAAGAAAATGGAGCTAGAAAAGCTGATAACCTTTAAGGTAAATCATATTGGAACCTTCTATTTTGACATCATGGTTTTATTTATTAATATTTAACTTACATAAATATAGCATTATAATAGCGACCAAAAATGATATGTGAGAATTAAATGACACAAATAAGTTATATATTGATCATGAAATCTCCATAATAAGAGTTAGCTGTAGAGAACAGTGTTCTCCCCTCACTGTGTATTATAAAAAGACTGAATCTTCTTTTATGAGAAAATGTAAGCCTAGAAAATATATCTTATAAGGGGGATACAGAAAAAGAAGTGTGCATATGCGAATATGCTATTGAGGTGAAACAGAATAAATCAGGAAGGGAACTTTTGGTTACTTCTTTAACATTGGATAATGAATTGCAAAATGGAAACTAAAATAGAAAACTAAAGCTAAGAAACTTTTGACAAGCCTAAGTAGCTGACAATCTCAAACTGGTTCATACCTCCAGATTCATTCTTCTTTTCCCAGGTAGATCCTTAATTCCCCTTTGTAGAATTAATTCTGTGTCCAGTGTCTAAAACCAATTAAAGTCAGAGTCACAGTTCTATGGTTTGGGAGTGAGCATCAAATCACTCCTGAGGAAATATACAGGAGTGGCCATAGAGATGTGCTTCTTCGTCCTCCAATTACAGAGAGAGTAACTAACCAAGAGTCTTAGTTGCTGTGCTCTGAGATCCACTGCCACCTTGACATGAAGGCCAGGCTCTCCCACAGGCTCCTACAAACCAGTGACTGAGCATTGGGGCAGGCCCCTTCTCGTGAAAATAGGGAGCCTCCTACTGTTAACACTGACTTGAGGATTCCCAATGGTCTTGTGGAACCTTCATTGGGTTGTATGGCAGACTAAGGAGTTCCCATCCAACCGTCTCTTCCTTTCCCCTTCAGGATCAGATTTACATTGGATCTAATGGCTACCACAGACTTTTGCAGTTCCCTCCTCCATTTTCTCTCACACGGACATTTCTTCTAATAAAATTCTTGAACTTTTAATTCTGCCTTGACATCTGTCACTCAGAGATCCTGAACTAACACATGCTCTACAGATATGACAAATAGATTCCTACTTTTTTCTCAATTCCTAATCTCTTCTAATGAACCTTAATTCTTATACTTGAATTTACTCTGTCTTTGAGTTCCCATGTAATAACCTACTACCCAATGTGCCAATAATAATTGTGGCTTTTCTGTCCAAGTATGAACTTTTTAGACACAACTATTTGTTAAATTAATCTTCAATCTAAGTGTAGCTCCCTTTCCATAAAATTTACTCTGACTGAGCTGGATCCTCTTGTTATAACACACCACTTCTTCTTTTTTTTAATTCTTCATTGTTGAAAGTTTTACTTGTGCCTCCTTTTCCCCTCATTGACCTCTCCCTGCCCACTCCCACCCAATACACTGCTTCCTGTAATTACCCCACTGATAGTTGAATTGTGGCCAGAAATTGCTGAAACCCTTAGATATTGTGTCTGATCACCAAATGGATCCCATAACCAGTGAGCTCTGTAGGTTATCAGCTACCTCAGTGCTTATCCAACTTCAGTGAGTGGGTCCAGTAATTCTGAATCACACTCTATACACATGTCTCACCAAATCCCAGAATATGACATGAGGCATTCACTTAAAATTCCAAAATAAAATATTTATTGGCTAAATATAAAACACTTACCTAATAAGGAACAAGGAATAGCAGAGAAGAGTAAATATACCTCCTTAGAAGGAAACTTATGCAAGGAGAAACTCAAAGTTATTGGACATGTGTGTTGATTGAATTGAAAACAGAATGGTTAAAGTATCCTAGACATGCTGTATTTGAAGACATGATTTCCTAGCTTTCTTTGTATCAATTTGTTTGTGTCAATGTAAAGTTTAGATTTACTTACCACAGAACAATTATTAAGGCAAAATGAAATACAAGTTTACTTCTTATAAAAATTAAACAATATTACTCTCATGTTACTCAATTATGGCTAATTTCTTTTTTTTTTAAATGTATTCAAAGAGATTTTCTTTTTTTTTTAAAATATATTTTATTGATTTTTTACAGAGAGGAAGGGAGAGAGCGGACTAAATCTCAGGTTCAATTCTGGTCAAGGGCACACATACCTTGGATGCAGGCTCGGTCCCCACCCTACCTGGGGCATGTGCAGGAGGCAGCCAATAGATGTTTCTCTCCCTCTTTCTCTCCCCCTCCTTTCCATTCTCTCTAAAAAATCCAATGGAAAAAAATATCCTCAGGTGAGGATTAACAAAAAATAAAACAAAACATGCCTTATTGACTGATTCAGATCCAGGACCTTATTTTATCCAATCCTTAGTCCCATTGAGGAAATCAATGGTGCCTTTGCATGGGGAATAATGCCACATTATCATCAATGTAGTATTTCTGAATCAGTGACTGGTTTTCATGTTAACAGTAATGTTGCCCATTTCCCAGAGGTTGGGGCAGGGGAAGGGAACTAATTGTTTGTTGTTTAACTTCGTGAAAAAAAAAAGTCATACATTTTTGGAAAGTGTAGTAAAGAAATAAAGGTTCATTAAACACATCCTCATCAAGGAAAGAGAACCACTGGCTCAAGGTGCCCATTTAGCAAATATATGGGCTGTGATGACTGGCCTGCACTATGCCAAATATAAGCCAAGGCACAAAGAATTCTATTGAAGCCATTTATAAAAATACCATAGTTCTATGTATAAATATCACCACATGTTCTCTAATGTTACAGCAACTGGAGTCAGATAATGTCTGAGCAGATTGTTAGACAATTTCAACTGATTAACACTAACCTTTCATTGGAAATGGAGATTTATCTCCACAATCAAATTCTGTTTGACAGCTCTCTACAATACTTTTTTTTTTTCACTATTTTCTGGGGTAGACTTCAACAATTGTAAAAAAAAAACAAACAAACAAACACACACACAATTTTTTCAGGAGACAGCTTTTTTTTTTCTCTATGAAAAAATTTTCTTTTGGTCCACAACTTTAAACAGAATAAAGCCTTCCACTATTTCATAATTGAGCAGAGAATCAGACATTTCTTGCGGGGGGGGGGGGGGGGAATATGAGCATGGTTGAGAATGATAAAATTAACACATATACAAATAAAACAAAACAAACTACATTTACCTGAGTGAGTGCAAAGGAATTTGACTCTATCTAGGGATAGAGAGATTTGAAAATCAAAAACAAAAACATCTTCTTTGACTATTTGGTAAATAAAGAGCTTATAAGCCAACTAAATATTGTACATGATAAATCTCATTAGAGAATCAAGGGGAAAAAAAGACTACAAAACTGTCACCAATCTGAGGTTCCTAAGAAAACATAACAACTAAATTCAATGAAACATTCCTGAATGAATCCTGGAAAAGTAAAAGGACATAGTGGAAAACATTGGGTCATCCAAGTAAACTCTGGAGTTTAGTTAATAGTAATGTACCAATGTTAATCCCTTAGTATTGACAAATGTATCACAGTTATGTAAAATATTAACATTAGAGGAAGCTTGATTGTTCAAATAGGATTCACTTGGCAAAATTTTAGACTAATTTACTCTATTTCTTAAATATCTTTTTTTCCAACATGTGAAAAATAGGGAACTGGAATAGTGAGTGACATTTCCAAAGCAATATTTTCATTTATAATAACTCATGAGCCCTAACCGGTTTGGCTCAGTGGATAGAGCATCAGCCTTCGGACTGAAAGGTCCCAGGTTTGATTCTGGTCAAGGGCATGTACCATGGTTGTGGGCAATCCCCAGTGGGTGTGCAGGAGGCAGCTGATCGATGTTTCTCTCTCATCGATGTTTCTGACTCTCTGTCCCTCTCCCTTCCTCTCTGTAAAAAAAATCAATAAAATTTAAAAAAAAATAACATGAATTCTCAAAGGATCTTGCATTCAGTATGAATTTTTATTAGATCATGTGACTATTCTACCTAGAACAGATATATCACCATGAAATAAAATCAATGCTACCATACTTACCTATTTAAACAGCCTTCTTTTTCATAGTAAGTTTCACTTTGTCATCTTACCTAATAATAGACAAACATGTAAATTGACTGTACCTTCGCTACACTAACAAGCCAATCATGAGAGTATGCAAATTAACCTAACAAAGATGGCGGTTAATTTGCATATGTAGGCTCCAAGCAGTGGAGCGAAGCCTGACAGCCCGGGGGCCGGAGCAGCACTGCCGGCCCCGGGGCCATGAGGCTTTGCTGCGCCGCCTGCCCCAGCCGGACCCCAGCCAGAGTGAAGGCCTGGGTGCCGGGTGCTGGAGGAAAACCGGTGCCAGCAGCCAGGGGAAAGGAAGGCCTATTGCATGAATCTCTT